TGAGGACTATAAGAATATATAGCTAGATAATAAGGACCTTAAGCATGCCTAGGACCTTATTAGGGAGTTTAAAGGTTATTAAAGAGGTATAATATAGCTATACCACCTTAAGCTAAATATATCTATTATTAATTTATTCTATTAAAGCATATTCTTTATTCTATATTTAGTAATACTATAATACCCTGTTAGTTATTACCTAAGGTCTGTTTCTTTATCTATTCACTGAATTACTATAAATACTATTCATCTATTATTACTTAACTAATAATAGTAAATACTACTATATATACCTTCCCTTATTATCTTCTTACCTTTTTCCCCTATTATCTTCTTATCTTCTCTCCTACACCTTTCTCTTTATATATCTTCCCTGTCTTCCCTAGATCTAATAGTTAAATCCTTACCTATAGTATAATACACTGAATTACTACTGCTAATCTAGTAATCTAGTATTAAATCCCCAGACATACTATATTATTAATAAATTAATGCTCACTTTAACTACTTCTATAATAAGATTAAGAAAGCACTATTTAACCACATTATCCCTAGCTAGCAGTGTCTATCTATAAATAACCCTAAACCTTATATAACCATAGGCCCCCCTACTCCCAAAGTATAATTATTTATAGATAAATTATCTATAAATAATAATATAGGTGCTAAACATACCCCCTCTAAACCTAAAGCAACCCTAGCTATAGCTATAGTAACATAATCCATAACTGAGCGAGCCACCCAAGCAAGCAAGCCACCTCAGAACCCCTGAAACCTTGCATCCATTGGATCATCATCAAACCCAATTTTCCATCTAATATGACATCAAAACAACCAGATTTAACTATTAAATTAGAAGATCACATATCTCTTGCAGTTAAAGTATACTAAAATAGCTAGTTTAAAAGTATACAAGCAGCAGCAGCAGCATATAATGTTCCTTGATCTACTCTTACATATTGAATTAGTAGCTGCAAAGCATGGGTTAATATACTAGCTAACTGCTAGAAGCTTAGCAGTCTAGAAGAGGGTTCTTTAAAGAAATGGATTCTGGATATGGATAAGCACAGCCTACCACTAACTCATGATACTGTATGCAAAATAGTGGATATCTTACTATCTCATCAGAATCCAGGCCTATCTACTGGAAAGAACTGGGTCAGCAACTTTATCAAACGGCATGATGATCTTATATCAAAATATACCCACAAATATGATTACCAGCATGTGAAATGTGAGGACCCAGAAGTCATCAACTAATAGTTTAATCTTATTAAGAATACTATAGTAAAATATGGTATTCTTAAACAAGATATCTACAACTTTGATAAGACTAGCTTTTAAATAGGTGTAGCCCATACAGCAAAGGTCATTACTGCATCCCATCATCAAACAAGCCACATACAAGCTATACAGCCAGGGAATCACAAATGGGTCACTATTATTAAATGCATCAATGCCTCTGGATAGCCTCTCCCCCCTATGATCATCTTCTCTGGCAAGGTCCACCAATCTTAATGGTATTAAGATATCAACCCTGACTGGCTAATCGGCCTGAGTGATAATGGGTGGATGAATAATGACCTTGGAGTTTTATGATTGGAAAAGGTCTTTGAAAAGCATACTATGGCTTGTATGATTGGGAAATATTAGCTTTTGATTCTTGATGGCCATGCTAGCTATGAATTAGCAGAGTTTGATCTTTTCTGTAAGAATCATCAAATTATCCCTCTTTATATGCCTTCTCATTCATCTGATAAACTATAACCTCTTGATGTTGGCTGCTTTGCACCCCTAAAGGAGGCATATAGGATAGAGGTGATGAGAAGCATTCAAAATGGCATTCATCACATTAACAAGGAAAACTTTCTTGATCTTTATAGAGAATCAAGAAAGGCCTTATCATTAAAGAATATCTGTAGTGGATTTGCAGCTTCTGGTTTAGTTCCTTTAGACCCCCAAAGGGTACTAGATAAGCTTACTATTAAGAATATCACACCCCCTAGTACTGCTTATGGACCTGCAGATATTAAATAGACTGTAAAGACACCTTATACTACGACTAAGGTGCAAAGGCAGATGGAGCTTATTAAGTAGCTTATTTAGTGCAACTCCTAAAGTCCTCTAACTAAGGCTATCTGTCAGCTTGCAAAGGCAGCTGAATCTACTATACATAAGGTCCTTCTCCTAGATCAGGAGATAAAAGGGCTGCACACAGTAAATGAGAAGCAGAAGTGAAAGTATACAACCCCTAGATCTTTTATTACTACTAGAGGTACTCTGACAGGTGCTAAAGGCTAGCAACTTGCCCAAGAAGCTATACAGGCGATGGAACCAGTAAGAGTTCCTAAGAAGCGTGCGCCACCATGATGTAGTAATTGCCATTAAGTTGGTCATATTAGAACAAGCTGTCCTAGTAGACCTAGATAATTCAAATATTCAAATAATTTTTGCTTTGGTTTGATTCCGTAGTAAAGATCTCTCATGGCTTTTGACCACGGCAAAAATCATGTTCAGGTGGCTCGCTCGGTTGGGTGGCTTGCTTGGTTGTGGATTATGTTAAGTAAAGTAATTATAAATATACTAAACCTTAAAGCTATAGTTATAAAGAAAATTATAGATATATAGAAAATAGTGCAGGACCAGGACTATAATCTATTTATATTTATACCTAATAAGTAGTATATTAATATTAACTTCTCTGTATTCTATCTTATTTCACTACTACTATTAGTACTAAAATTTAATAATAAAAAGCCCCTAATAATACTAGTTAGAATAATTAAGGACCTGCTATATAGTTACTTAGACACCTATAAAACCTACTATTATTTAGTATATATAATAGCATTCCTATGAGCTAAAACATGCATACCCTAGTATAAGATATATAAAGTATCTAGAAAAACTATTATAGTTAAGGATTATAACCTTCATCTACTATATAAGATTAAAATTAAACACCTTAAGTTAGCTAAGATATTATTCTAGGAGTAGATTGATTAGCTAGAGGCTATATACAGTAATTATAAACTAAAGATAATTAAATTTTAGAATAACTAGTATGACTAGGAAGTTAAATTACTTAAAGTAATCTATAAATAAGACCCACCATCTTATAATGAGGATACTATGATACAAATATATATATAGGTGAAACAGGAAAAATATAAAGAAGATAATAATAAATATAATATATTTTACTATAGTAACTTTATAATACTAGATAACTAGATACATAGCCTATCTACCCCTAGTAATAGAATAGAAGCTATAGCCCCCTCCTACTACTCTATATTCTATAGTAACTATAGGACCTAAAAGTAGTGATCATAGCTATTAATAATATTATTACTAACCTTATAAAGATGTAAATATAAAGTATAATATCTAAAGATAAAAAGCATATATATTTTAGGAATATTAGTAACTTAGAGAAAGAACTAGATAATAGTGAAATTACCCCACCTATAGACCTATCTATATACCTTAACTAGGTTGCATAATAACATGTATTATAAGATATAACTATACCTATAGATAATAAGGACCTACTTAAGAAATATAACCTCCTAAATAATATTAACCTAGACTAGACTACTTAGCTAGCAACCCTTAAAAAACTAAGAACTATATATATTACTAAAGACCTTAATATATATCTATAGAGAAAACTAGCCCTAGCCCTTTAGTACATACTTACTAGAGCTATAGAATATATAAAGAACTTAATATTTACTAATAATATAGTAAAGGCCCTCTATAGAATTAAGTAATGATATTTTACCTAGAGTAAAATAAACTAAAAGGCCCTATTATCGAGTGTTAATTATTAGGCCCTTATAATAAAAGGAAGGAAATATATTATAGATACTCTTAAGGAAACTAATAGCACTAAAGACATATATCTAGTATTTTTTAACTAGATTAGACTATTTACTTATTTTACTAGACTATTACTTATCTTACTATATTATTCTATTTATTTATTAGACTATTTACTTACCTTCTTACTATCTATGTATTCTACTTATTTATTAGACTACTCACTTATATTATCTCTGCTTATTTTATTAGACTATCTAATATATTTTACTTATTTTACTACCTCTCTTTTACTTTACTTATTTTACTGCTATTTTACTACCCCTCTAACCCTTATAGCAAGGGCGCTGAGCTTTCAGGGCCCCCCCATATATGGTAAGACCACCACATGACATGGGTGCGTTTATCCGTCTCCCCCTGTAGGTAGCACTTCAGAGAACCATCAATCAATGGAAATACAACATGAAGAGTTTCATGCTGCCATAAGAGGAGAAATTTTCTTTAGGGGAAATATAAATCTAGGTCTTGGATCATTAATTAAGACATGCTACTATTTTATGGTAGTATATAGTTATTTATATTATATGCTTATTTATTTATAATGTTCCTAAGTACTACATACAGCAGAGATGGATAAACAATGTGCACTGCTCATGTGCCACAACAATGTATCTTAGAAAGAGGCATCTAAATAGCACTATAATACAATATAAGTGCATCTACCATGATAGTGGTTATATTATATATATTACAAAGAAAGAAAGTTTTTTCAGGGGAGCAGATATGATTTAGGGTCTTAGATTAGATAGATATACTACTGACTTATTATAGTAGATATATTAGTATCATATTATGGTGCTATTTATTTACCTCCTTCAAAGATATTACTAATTACTAGGTGGAAGTACCACCATTCATATTATAGTAATACTTGGTACCACAGCGGTTCAGTTCCAACTTATGGCATACAGCCGTCATGGTATAATTTGAGTGGAAAACAAAATCAATACTGAACGTTATTACTAATCAGGTCTTATCCCATCTCTTGTCTGATATTAGTTATCATGAACCTATATTAATAATACAAAAGTTTAGAAGAAAGATGGCCATGCCAGTCCACTCAAGAATAGAAGATACATAATTTTGTTCAATACAAACGAACGTCCAGGCATCCAATGGCTAAACAAACCCTTTTACTATCACCCCCATCCCTCTCGTCCCAACCTGGGAAATTAAATGAGACCCTTCAGTCATACAATCGCAATGCAACCGACCTGCAGATGCTTGATCGTTTGGCCCTTGGTCTTGCGTCACTGCCAGACTCAACATACTCTACTATCGTCATCCTAGCAGGTGGAGATAACTCTTTTTCCGAGAGTTTGAAACTTATAAACCGCCAGACATTCAATCAAATTATTGGGTCTCTCAGAAGAGGGGGATATATTTACGGTCAGGATGCAGTTTCTGGGGTCGCCTTTGATCACAACGAAGCGATTCTTGCCGGGCTCATACATGTTGGCAATGGCAAATACCTGAAACCCGATATCGAGGAGATGCAGGCTGTTCCATTGCGGCTTGGAAGGAAAAATGATCATCTTGCTGGGGCACCCAGCTTAGAGGGATCAGCTGCGGAACATCCGTTCCCTCCTGAGGTTTCGGAAGGTAAAACCGCCAGTGGTGATAATAGGGTCGCTGTTGTTGGGTCTCAAAAATTCCGTGAGAACATCGTTTCAGCAGCTACAATGGACAATAATGAGGCTTCTGATGATGAACTTATCAACGAAGACAATCTTCTGGATGACAGTGAGCTTTCAGCGCCAATCATACAGCGTAAGTGCTGTTCTTCTTTTGCGTGATATGAATATTGTTTAGGCATCATTATGGCCCTCGTTGTTCGGCTTAAGTTTATGTGTCCGTCAACACTAACTAACAGGTGGACCAGCACCGGAATGCCGTCCCAAAGCGGGGAAGCGCCGCCGAGCTTGTAAGGATTGTACCTGCGGGCTCGCGCAGAAATTACAGGAGGAGGATGCAGTCAAGAGGGCTGATGCTGACGAGCAACTTGACGCAATGAAGTTGTTACATGATGATCTAGCTGAGGTTGACTTCACTGTGCGGGGAAAGGTCGGGAGCTGTGGAAACTGCTCACTAGGTGATGCTTTTCGCTGTGAGGTATGGAATCTCTATATGTCCCTATTTTCATTGGCATGATATCTGACCATTTGGGTTATTGTTTATAGGGCTGCCCTTTCATTGGCCTCCCTGCATTTCAACCTGGTGAGGAAGTTCGGCTTCTTAATAATGATGTTCAGCTATAAGTATGTCACTACTTATAGCTATTATCATTATGTTATAATGTTATGTGCAATGTGGAATGATTAACATCTTATTTCCTGATTGTATGAATAATACCTATTTAGATCTACCTAGTAACACTGGTATTAGACGGCTGGTTTGCTGGTACATGTAATTTATTCTGACACTCATACCTTAAACTTTTCTCCTCTTACATTACCAATGATGTGGTACCTATGGAGCTACTATAGCTATATCTACTAGCTATCTATATATAGGTGTTTAAGTAGCCTAATATTCTACTATATATAGTACTAGCTAGAGGAGCTTTTTAGCTTATATAGGCCTAGATAACTACTTAGTTAT